CGGGAAGGGATCAAAACTTGAAATCCTGGCTAGAGTGAGAGGCAAAACATGGAACAAAACCCCAAAACACAGTAATGACCAAAATTACTGGTCAGATGGAGTCTGGTGGGACCCCCAATGGCCCCGGGATACACTTTGAGCCTGGAATAAAACTAACTCCCAGGGGCTGGCTCTCAGCTCAATAATAAATGAGACGTACAGGCAGACAACTAAACCCAGGGTGATGCACCCACACACTCTATGGAGATGCATCCCTTGGAGCAATTGACCACAGGGCACCAGAAAGGCAACATTTGCATGGAAGAAATGCAGGACACACAGGAGTCCATGACTATGAGGGGCATGGGAGGTAGAGGGATTACTGGGAAGTGAGGGAAGAAGAGTGGGTTAGGGCTGGGTATGGTAATTGAGGAGGGAAACCAAATGTACGTGAAATGTTGAACATAAAAAAAAAACTCTGCTCTGCAAACTTGCACCTAAACCAAACTAAACCAAATTCAACACACAATAAAATTAAAATAAAATAAAAAAGTTAATGAAAAAAAAAAATTATCTTAATTTAAGCTCTTTTACAAACTCAACTAACAAGGAATTATTTTATGTGGTGCACACTGCACACTCATGACATTGCTAAAAAAAAAAAAAAAAAAAGAAACAACTGGCTAATTACCTCAGGGTACTCATTGCAGCATAACAAATGGGCAAATGTTAAAATGCTAGAGTGCCACTGGGTAGTGGAAGAATACTGAATTAGTAATCAGAAGATGGCTTTCAGTACTGGTTCAGTCAGTTTTTATTAGTGTGGTTCCTGGTAAGGTACTTATTCTCTGGATGTTCTTCACAGTTCTCCTCATCCTAAAACTAAAGAGCAGTATTCTCTTGAGATATTATCCTATAATTTTCTTTTATTTTACAAAACATATACGCCAAAGAGTGCCCTGACTTTTTCACTTTTTATCACCATCTTTGCACTTCTCACCCTGGAAATTTGGCTTCTGTTTCTATCCCTTACCCACCACAGAATCCCAAATCCTCTTCTCAACTTTCCTTTTTTCACATCTTTGAGGACTGCTGACCTCCAGAATATATACCTCCCTTGATTATACATTCTATCTTATTCAAGCATTCTACAAAAGTTATTCAGCATCTCCTTGTGCCAGCCACTGTGCTAAGTGTTGGAGATAGAATTCTTGTTCCTGTCCTCATATTGTATTAGAGCCTAGTGGTCAGCCACAGGGGTCCAGGTGAGGAGAGAAAACTCAGGCATGCCCAAAGCAGTAGGGTGGGAGAGCAGGAGGAAGGGGATTAAAAGGCCCAGGAATCCGGACAGAGGAGGAGTCAGCCACAAGGACCCAGGTAAGGGTGGTATGAGAGGCTTCCAACAGGGAGACAAACTTGTCTGTCAGTTTTTCCTACCATGGTGATGTGTTGATGTGAGTTTTGAGGCTGAGCCACT